TAATGGGAGTCACCGCTTCTGTGAGAATTTTGAAGGCTGAATTTTTTAAAGAACTCATGAAAACCAAGAGTTGTTTAGGGCTAAAATGAACACAATCATGAGAACCAATTGTGTTAGGAAAGAGACTGTGTAGAGTCTATTCAATCTGATTTATCAAACAACAGAATAGTTCAAGACATCACGTTCACTATTTAGCCAATAAGTCTGATGTGTTTTCACTAGAGAAGGTTCAATGCCAAAAAACTTCCTATTCAATGTACAATCTTTCCAAAGATGTACTCTCTATAGTGTGTCAGCATTATCATTTGCATACTAACAGCCAATTTTTCATTCATGTGGGAGATTGTTAGACCAAAACAGTTTTTAAGTGTAAAAATATAATTTTTTGTCAACTTTGAGTCTAAATTAAAGTGGGACCCGTTTGTTGTTTCGAGTAAATTTTCGTGGATTCATATTCTACTCTGTGAGGAGAATAAAGAGGTGTATTCACTTGCTCTAATCGACTAAAAAATGAATGAAAAAATAGGTTTCAATGTAACCCTCTTGAATTATGAAAATAAAGGTAGTACAATGTGGGATTTGACACCAATCCCACATTGGTTGAAGAAGAAATTTTATATGGGCATATATAGGCCAAGTTTGCTCTATGGGATTGGGCCCCAAGGGGTACCACAGTTTTATGAATGGATCGAGCACCTACATGCCTTCGGTTTGACCACATGTGCACCGCTCGGCCGCCATGCCACGACCCGGTCGGGCCGAGCAGAGCTCGAGGATGGTGTGGGTGTGAGTGTGGTTTAGACCAAGCCCTATCTTTTTAGAGAAAATTTATTTAATTAATTGAGCGTGAATTTCTTATCCCGAAATTAATTTTCGGTATCCTTTGAATCGCACTGGTTCCGTTTTTGATTCCCTCCAATTCGAAACTTTGAGTCCAATCTGAAATTTTAAGTTGTGTCTATTTATGGAAAACAGTTACTCAAGATGTCTTTTGGCTGTTGTATTTTATCTTATGGGTTGTGTCTTTTAGTATGGTGACTGTCTGGTAAGTCACCAAAGTATCTATAAATACCCAGTCTCATTACCATTCTGCATCCAATTCATTCATCAGTCCATTTTTGGCATTAAGCCAGACATCAGAGCATAACATTTCAGCATTAAGACAGTCTGCATTTTAGAAAATACACAATGCAATTTTTGGTTCGTTGGACGAGTAGATTGGAGTGCTACTTTTGCTCGTGTAAAGATAATTATATCTTAGGAGGCAGACGCTAGATATTCCATAAGAACCGTGTGTGGGGGCGAAATTTGTCTTAAGGACTAGTGTCAAACAGTAGCCTTGATCTACATCAAGTTTAATAACAGTTCCTGTTCTGCAACCGGGTTAGTATTTATATTAGTTTGACAAAAATTTACATGTAACTCTTTCGTGTAACTCTTTCGTATAACTCTTTTGTGTAACTCTTTTGTTTTTGTGTAACTCTTTACTGTTACTGTTTTGTTATACATTAGATGGTTCAAATTAAAATTTTTAATAAGTAATTTTACAATATTTGAAATCACACAAACAACAATATATATATTACCCACAGAAGGAATAGAAGATTACAAATGAACCCAGAAGGTGGACTAAAGTTATTGTGTATTGTGTGGGAACATCTCTTTGCAGTTGTGATTTATACAAAACTATTAGTCTACCCAACCCACACGAGTAGTTTACCCAGTATAATAACATTTTCTTTTTTTTTACTTCCAATAAATACTATCTTCTCTTGACTAGAGTTTTCTATATCATGAATCTACATATGCATGCGGCATCAATTTAGAGCTAAGAACTTATGCAAAAATAATATTTATGCCTTATAACATTACTATGTCAGATTTCGAATTGATACACAGATACTTAGCTGCTTTAAATTGTTGAGAAAAATTTGCATAATTTCACATAATTTTAATTAACAGATTAATATCCAAATTATAAACTAACAATAATATGCAAATAAATATAAAATAAAAATCAATTTAGAATAGAATAAAATCAATACTATATATTAGAAAGAGCTAATATGCGAGTTTGGGAGACGTGTGAACACTATCCTAAAGCAGCTGAGCCTCTCTGCGTGAGGGTACTGACGGACACCAGTAACTCTAACGTCAAACCCAAACGCTTGCAACAACAACTCTTTAATGGTCACGTCCATTGGAAGGAAGGGGTGAACTTGACTCGAATCAAAGTTGCCCAAAAATACAAGGTAATTCAAAATATACATAAGAACATATATGATGGAAGGAGAAAAGGCTCTTGCTTTAAGTGGAATAGATCCGGAGGTTAGAGATAAAACCAGATTTTTTTCCCCCTTAGACCACTTTCATCATCTAGCTTATATAGGGATCATTTGATGACTCGTCTTATATGTTTAGATGTAACGACTAGGCCCTTAACAAACCATTAAGGTAATAACGGCTAGGAATTAAAAATAGGTCACTAGGTTTGCACCTAAAATCTACAAAATTAATCAAAGAAATAAACTCATAAAACTGAAAAATTAATTTAAAATTAATGAGAAGTTTTGAAAACTAAGTATTATTCTAACATGATATCGCCCATTTATCGATATTTATGCGAGCTTCAAAGCCCTCTCAAGCGATTGAAAAGCGCAATGCATCAAATCGATGTACAAGGCTTATGATTTNCAAACTAACAATAATATGCAAATAAATATAAAATAAAAATCAATTTAGAATAGAATAAAATCAATACTATATATTAGAAAGAGCTAATATGCGAGTTTGGGAGACGTGTGAACACTATCCTAAAGCAGCTGAGCCTCTCTGCGTGAGGGTACTGACGGACACCAGTAACTCTAACGTCAAACCCAAACGCTTGCAACAACAACTCTTTAATGGTCACGTCCATTGGAAGGAAGGGGTGAACTTGACTCGAATCAAAGTTGCCCAAAAATACAAGGTAATTCAAAATATACATAAGAACATATATGATGGAAGGAGAAAAGGCTCTTGCTTTAAGTGGAATAGATCCGGAGGTTAGAGATAAAACCAGATTTTTTTCCCCCTTAGACCACTTTCATCATCTAGCTTATATAGGGATCATTTGATGACTCGTCTTATATGTTTAGATGTAACGACTAGGCCCTTAACAAACCATTAAGGTAATAACGGCTAGGAATTAAAAATAGGTCACTAGGTTTGCACCTAAAATCTACAAAATTAATCAAAGAAATAAACTCATAAAACTGAAAAATTAATTTAAAATTAATGAGAAGTTTTGAAAACTAAGTATTATTCTAACATGATATCGCCCATTTATCGATATTTATGCGAGCTTCAAAGCCCTCTCAAGCGATTGAAAAGCGCAATGCATCAAATCGATGTACAAGGCTTATGATTTTACAGACTCATTCCATGAAAAGGTTGTTAAGATGTTATTGGGGCGTGGGTGTAACAAAATCTAGCTGCCAAATATATGCTGTCCGAATGTGCATACATGTGAACATTCCTACACCTCTGTCTAGAAGGGGCAGTGTTTTTGCATGTGAGCCAGCATTGCACATTGAAATTGCTATCACAAGACGATTGATTAATCTCCCCTTCTTGTATAATAGTCATTCAGAATCGTGTCTTTCGTTTTTGGTCTTTTGGATGTATCGTGCCTCTTACCAACTCGAGTAAACGATTTACTTTATAGAATCACACAATTGGATCCTCTCTCAAATTCCTCAATAAAAGTAGGGTTAATCCTAAATTGGACTCCGAAAAATTGTTCGGATTTCAATTTACAGCTTCAAAGATAAAACATTTCAATCTATACCTTCAAAAATATAAATTTGTATTAATGCGCACTTGAAACTAACAGTCGTTAATTTACCGTTTAAAACTAAATTAATAAATTACACCTAAATTATCTCATACTTGTCACTTAATTACTTACACCATTCACATTTGAAATATTACATCTACATCCTTCAAGAATTTAAATATGACTAAAAAAAATTCTCCCAATTGGGTATCTAAATAATTCTGTTTCAAATGATGTATTGCATTGGATATAAAAGACATTATATAAATACCTGCATTATATTAGACGTTGAAATGGTAAACTTGATTTTAAACTTTAGCGTATAACAGACTCACAAAATAAAATATAATATAAAAATTATAATTTTTTATTAAGAAAAAATTATATTTTTTAACGGTTATATTAATAGATATCAGCGATAATGAATTATGTGTTATACGTGCACACATGTCAGAAGGTGTAAAAATAATATTCTAAAAGTGAGGAATCCAAATGATTTATTTAGACGGCTATTAGCTTCTGATGTGTGCAGTGTGATATATGTTTATATCTTTGAAAATGTAAATTAAAATTGTTTATTTTTAAGGATAAAAATTAAGATTCAAAAAATCATTTGAAGTGTAATTTATGATTAACTCTAAAAATAAGGCAGGGAGGAGGATTATATCTTTTTTACAAGAGTCCATAACCACTCCCAAATGTTAGATTATAGACAATGGGGCCTCTGGGAGGACTCGTGAGCTTATAGTGGAAGATAAATGCCGAAAGGGGCCCATTGGAAGTTTGTTTTTCGTAGATGTTAACATCGGACAGCTCACATTAGCTTCTAAGAACTCATTCTCCGCTGTTGATTACGGCCTTTTCTAACTCACTCTAGATCATGACCATCCAATTGTGGGACCCGCAAACTCCACTTTATGTCACACAATTCTGCAAATAATAACGCACCACCGTATCCATAAATTACAGAGGAAACAGCCCTTATTAAGAATCCAGACAGGGTCCAAAGTACAAGTGACTACATATCATATGACCAAAATACCCCCCACATTCCAGAAAATGACGTAAACTCATTTCAACCGGAAGTTAGTACCTCAGGTGAATGTGGCATCCAATAAAAAGAGAGAAGAAAGTACAATCTGATAGAATAATCTGGGGCCAAAAAAGCTCTGCCAAGAAAACCCAATTTTCAAATACCACTTGTACAACATAATTGATACTTACAGAACCAAAATTTCAAGTTCTTTACAATAACAATGGAGCTTGAATGAAGAGAGCAGAAAATAATGGTACTTCTACTCTACCAAAATAATTGTAATATAAACAAGAAATTAAATTCTACCTCAGAAATCTCAGAAGAAAAATGGCTGCTTTTGAGCCCAATTCAATTCTCCTTGTTAAAAAAAACCCCCAGAAAAATTGAGAATTACAATGGAAAAACAATTTAATGTGATAGTGATACCAATACATACAACCCTATACACCAAAGAACCAGAATGGCTTGCCATACCCCATTTCTCGCCGCTTCCGATCGTTTATCCTCATGAAATCCCGGCGGCGAAGACGGAGAATTCTCAGGCGGCTGAGCATTACCCATTACACCATTATCACTGGGCGCATCAACCGTAATTGGGTTCTTTCCAAAAATCTCACTAGGCAACAACACTCGAGAAATTCCGAAAATCGCCACCGGGTTTTGGTCAATCACCGTCTGTGTCACTGACGCTTGAACAATCCCAGTATCAATCGCCAAGGACCCATTAACCCTAGAAATGTTTAGCGTGTAGCTTCCAGCTCCATTGTCCTCCGTAGCCAATGTAGGCTGAACCGGGTTCACGATTGACTGGAGGGACCCAAGTGGATAATAGGAATGTAACACATGAAATTTCAATACCACAGTTTTGTTATCAGCTGATAAGGATGGAAATCCAACCGTCGCAGGTAGATCGGAAAAGGCATCGTCGGTGGGGACAAACATAGTAATTCCGGCACCACCCTCATCGGCTTCGAACTTTTCCACAACGCCAGATGCTGTTAACATTGAAGCTGCGACGTTGAAGTTGTGGCCGTCGATGAGGGCTTTGGTGATGTTGAGACCCAATGGGGGTCTGGTTTCGGAGGCCATGAGATCGAAGCCGTAAGGGACGAGAAGGGAATTGACGGAGAAGATGGTGATGTTGTAAGGTATAGATTTGATGAGAGAGAGAAGGGTGGCGTTGGTGGTGGGTGAGAAGATAGTGATGGCGTTGGTGGTGGGGTTCCTGGTGATATTGACGGAGCCGAAGTTGTTAGTAGCTCTGCCGGTGGTCTGGAAGAGAGTGGCGACGAGTTTTCCGTTCGGTGGGACACGGCGGAGGTCGTACCAAGAAAGATATTCGAGGAGAACATGGTAGCTGAGTACATCAGCGAGGTTTGCGGAGGAGGGGTTGTAAGGATGGTGGGTGAGATCGGAGGAGCGGAGATAGGTGTTAGGTACGACGAGGAGTGTAACGGAGGATCGCTGGGTTAGATCGGCGGCGACGGCGGTGGAGGTGAGGAGGTTAGTGAATTCGGAGAGATCTGGGTTGGAGGATAAGAGATTGGTGACGTTAATGGCTTCAATGGGTATGTGGTGTGAAGAGAATGTAAGAAAACAGAGAATTGTGAGAGGGGCAAAATGGGAAATGGATGAGAAAGCCATTTCTGGTCTGAAGAGAGTGTAGGTAGTGAGGTGCATAGAGGGTGAGAGATAGGGAGGATTGCGAGTGGGCGAGGGGGGATGATTTGGTGACGACGGTCTATGATTGTGCATGATGGTTATGAGGAATATGGGGAGAAATACACTTTCACCCTTTAAATTATGATTCTAATCTAATATTGTTTCTTGATTATAATTTTTTACATTAAACCTTTAATTGTAATTATTGCAATAAGACTAAATGAGACCATGATCGATGAGCCTAAAATCAATTGAGTCAAGCCCAATTAATCAGACCCAATTAATCAAAAGAGACCTACGTCACCTCGAAGCCCAAGTCAAGGAATAGTCCAAGTTAAGAAAAATCTAAAGTCAATGAGGAGTTCAAGGGAGACACCCACAAGAGGACACCCCAAGGAGCACCATTCAAAGGGGCTACCCAAAGGGCGCCGCCTAAGGGAGGCCACCCCAAGGGAATCTCTCTCTCTTTTGTCTCATACTCCATCTCCTGTGCAACTTCGTGGAGTCTTTCGTTCTCTTGACTTTGACACTCCAACTCAAGTCCAACCCAGCTCAGTATCTTCCTTCGACAGAATAGGAGCACGAGGGAGAGAATATCGGAATATGCTCAGTGATCTAATTTTACCTTATTTGTACTTACCAAAATAGTAGAAGTCATCTCCCTAATGTCATTGTCTTACTAAACCTATATAATGTAAGCCCTCTCCACATAGAAGGCATTACCTTATCAAATTCAAACCTCACATATCCCTATACACACATGGTCTCTCTCTCTCTCTCAAGCATTGTAATACACTCGGAATTACTCTCCCAATTACATTAATCATCAATAAAGATATTCGACCACCGTTGTCATTCCCGAGAGTAGAGTAGGTCACTTACACCGAACAACTATAAATTTTTGTGTGTTGCTATTATTCGTTGTTTTGCCATTAATTGTCTGTTTACTGCTTATTAATTGCACGCTTACATATATACTCGACTGTTGATTTTGCGTAATACCGATTTGTGTATCATCAATGATTATGATTTAAATGTATTAAATATAATATATTAAAGAATATTAAATACACACACACACACATATATATATATATATTCAGTAGGTAAGAATATTATATTTTATTCTTTGGATTAAATATTTTTGGAAAAATTTCATCCACACATCTTGTAATTAGGTTTAAATTTAATGACACCCCAAAAATCGGGGGTCCTTAATTTAATAAAATTTGGGTAGAGTCTCCTTTGTACGAGGAGCTCTATCCAAAATCCAACCTGTACAATATACATTAACACGAACCACTTGAGGCCTGATATAACACAATGACCGCACCGGGTCCATTCATTCACACTCATAGAAAAACATGTAAGGTTATATTAAAAACAGTCAATATGAGTTCAATTACAACTCTCTTACATAAAATTACATGTCAAAACTAGTTTGCTCCAAAAATTTTACAAAAGAAGTTATAAAAGTCACAAGTCGGCTTTCTTCACCCTTGCGACCCCAAATGAAAGCCGTCCACCGATGTATTTTTCGCACCTGAAATATTTTCTCGTATAGGGTGAGCTAGGTCTGGTAGAGTATTTTCTACAGAGGCTACTCCCCACCTAAGTGCATATGTAATGTTCACATCAACATTCCAAGTAAGAATATGCAATTCTAGGTTGAAATTCTACCATGTAATGCTATAAAATGAGATGAAACTCACTCATACATCATAACCCGAGTCTTCACCAACTCCCACCACACAATGCAATGCAATGTGTAATAAAATCTGTCATTGATGAATTACATCCAATGATCACTTTGAAATAAAAGTCATGTGTTTATAAAAATCAATTCAATTCTGGATGTTTCCTCATCAAATAAATCTTTTATATAATAAAAAATCATGTGTTTTTATTTGGGTAGTGGACTTTTGGTGTTGCACCACCGGCTCCACACACCGATACACTTTTTTGGACTTGCACCGTAGGAAGAGTATAAATTAGTAGCGGGGTCTTGCACCCGAGGGGGGATCTATCCATTCTTGCTATACCGACACAAGTTTTTCATTTCATGCAAACCGTACGACTCTATTGAATCTTGGTCCAACAGTACCGAGTCCACTTATCAATCACCAAATTTGATGTTTGCTTTCAACCATGCACTCACACCCATGGAATGCGATGTCCCCGTGCATATGCAATGTAATGTACCATTGCATGTCAATGTTATGTCTCATATGTAATGAATGTCATATGGACAACTTAAATCACACATTTCATTATGTATCATGGACAATTGTATTATATGTATATAACCTCCAAAACTCATCAGAATGTCAAAATATTAATACACTTATATCAACATTTCTTTTCAACACAATCCCTAAGCATGTTACTACATAATCAAGCAATAACACACTTAGTTCTCATGGTATAATGTGGATATATAACAAGCCCACAAAACAGCCCACATAGCAGCCTACAAATAACCCAAAACAAGTCACATAACGGCCCTGAGATAGGCCACCAAAACAACCCCTAAACAGTCACATAGCAGCCCTAAAATAGGCCACCAAAACCTCCACATAGCAGCCCCAAAATAGGCCACCAAAATTGTCCATAAAAATAGCCTCAAAACAGCCTCATAATCACTCCATAAAATAGTCCAAGACAGTCCATAAAAACAACCTCAAAACAACCCCATAATCACTCCATAAAATAGTCCAAAATNCAAATAACCCAAAACAAGTCACATAACGGCCCTGAGATAGGCCACCAAAACAACCCCTAAACAGTCACATAGCAGCCCCAAAATAGGCCACCAAAATTGTCCATAAAAATAGCCTCAAAACAGCCTCATAATCACTCCATAAAACAGTCCAAGACAGTCCATAAAAACAACCTCAAAACAACCCCATAATCACTCCATAAAATAGTCCAAAAGAGCCCACATTATCACCAAGTTACAAGAGATTACATAAGTAACTACCATGCATCAAACTCAAGTTAGAAGTTAGCCTAAGTCATTTTCATGCTCATTTTCTCATTTTCATAACTATATACAAGTTATAGGTCATATATACATCTAACCCATTTTCCTATAGACATCAAAGGTTAGAAATACATCAAAGTAGGAAGAACCCTACCTCTTGAAGTGTAAACCGAAGGCTGAAACTTTAAGAACACCCACCAAAACCTCCAAGCCTTGATTTCTCCAAAATCTCCCCTTGGAATCTTCGGTGAAGTCCCTCATTCTTAGTACGTAGATANAGTTAGCCTAAGTCATTTTCATGCTCATTTTCTCATTTTCATAACTATATACAAGTTTTAGGTCATATATACATCTAACCCCTTTTCCTATAGACATCAAAGGTTAGAAATACATCAAAGTAGGAAGAACCCTACCTCTTGAAGTGTAAACCGAAGGTTGAAACTTTAAGAACACCCACCAAAACCTCCAAGCCTTGATTTCTCCAAAATATCCCCTTAGAATCTTCGGTGAAGTCCCTCATTCTTAGTACGTAGATGTAGCCCTCGTTGAGGTGATCGATTTTAATTCTTGGCTCGACGGAATCCGACTGACGGAACCCCTAGAATCGGTGAAAGAAATCTTGATTTCTCTCTCTTTTCTCCCATACGTTAAAACCAGCAGAGTTCAGCTAGTATTTTGTGCAAAATATCTAATTTTAGTCCTTATTTATAATTTTCAAGACTTGGCCCTCGTCGCGCCAAGTGTTCTCCACTTGCTTGGGTCCGTTTTCGCTCCGAAATGATTTATTTGATCCTNGACGGAATCCGACTGACGGAACCCCTAGAATCGGTGAAAGAAATCTTGATTTCTCTCTCTTTTCTCCCATACGTTAAAACCAGCAGAGTTCAACTAATATTTTGTGCAAAATATCTAATTTTAGTCCTTATTTATAATCTTCAAGACTTGGCCCTCGTCGCGCCAAGTGTTCTCCATTTGCTTGGATCCGTTTTCGCTCCGAAATGATTTATTTGATCCCAATTTAAGTTTAAATTGATTTTATTTGAACTTTTATTCAATTATACATAAATTTTATAAAATTTATATTTTGAGACCTTTGTGAAGTCATCCGCCACACAACCGTCTCAAACGACGTACAAAAATTTGACTATCTCGAAATTCGATAAAAATTATCTGGGTAACTAGATTTCGCAATACGAATTTAACAGCGAAGTCCGTTGTGTCAAACAAGCTCTATAGAACACATATTTTAATTCCGCATTATAAATGACAAATGACCATTTTAGCCTTTTTGAAAAAATTTCAAATTTTCTCGGGTTTTACACTCCCGATTTTGAAATTTCATTGTCACCTCTTGTTAGTGTTTGTCAGATTACGACATTAACAGTGATTATTAATTTACAAAAATATGCCTGAATATTTTATAGGATAAATTTTATCCACACCCCATATATATAAACATGACTTCAACTATACTCCCTATAAATAGACTTATCTTTAACAATACCCCTCATAATTATGAAATTTTGATACTCTCCCTTTTAATTCTATTATATTAATCTTTAGATTAATCAATTTAATATTTAATTCTATCAAATTAATATCCTTTATTTAATTTAAACTAAATTAACTTTCCATATCATCAAATCAACATAAATTGATATTTAATTTTATCAAATTAGCAATTAATTATATTAATTTAATATTTTATTTCATCAAATTAATATTATTTCTTTTAATTTTAGATTCTTATTAATTTCATCAAATTAACACAAAATTAATATTTAATTTTATTAAATTAAATTTAATATATTAAATATAATATTAAATTCTATTAATTTAGCATTTAACCTTATCAAATTAATGTCACTTATTTAATTTAAAACCAAATGAACGTTCAATTTCATTAAAGCAACATTTAAATTTATTCAATTAATATTAAATTTTATCAAATTAACACTGGATTAATATTTAATTTTATCAAATTAAAACCAAATTAATATTTTAATTTATTATATTAAGACCAAATTTA